CCCTGAGTACTACGTAAACCTACCTGCCCTGCTGCCTCCTAACCCTAGTTTTTTTTTCTTTTCTTTTCTCTTCTTTTTCTGTCTTCTTTATTTTTCAATTATAAGTTAAAATGTGACAGCAAAGAAAGTGTAAAAAGGCAAACTACTGTTATGTTCAACAGCTGTCCCAATAAAAGAGATAATAATAAAAGAATTTCTACTAAAAAACAACATTGTCCAAAAATGCATCGAGCAGCGGTGAGGACTCCATGCTGACTTTATTGTCATCTGGAAGTCTTTTACGTGCTCTGTGGTTGGTATTTCATACCTTTGTAAGTGATGGTTCCCCAGTGGCAGCATGGGCCGGGCAACGGGTCCGGTCCTGGTGAGACGCTGTGGCAGTGGTTGCCCACTGGTCAGTGTAACCCAAAGGTGTAAAGTAACCACAGTCCTGAACACTGGAACTCCTCTCAAATTCCTCACACACACCGTCACCGTCAAAAACATAACACTGACTGGGTTCACCTTGGGAGACGGAAAAGAATGAGAAAGGAGGATTTATGAAAGAATATAAAGCCTGGTCTCTTAATCTGGCAGGGTATCCAATCATCCCCCACTGTTAGACTGTCATCCAAATCTATTTGTCAGTGAACCAAATCTGAGCAAATCTATTCTATTCTATTTTCGTTGGCCACGTCAGCTCAAGCATATCTGACTCTCTGCACTGTCAACAGACTGTAAATTACGCTGAGAAATGAACTCAATTAATTATTAAAGATTAAAGTAATTTGGTGATATTAACGAGGAGAAATCTAATATGTGACTCGGTATCTGCGGATAAGCAAGTCACAGCAGCAGCAGTGTAACAGCATGAATTACAAAGAACTGTCAAAGCAGTGTCAGACAAGACAGAAATACAGACAAAAATATGCCTTCTTCTACTTTATTGTCTCTCTTGCTATATTTAGATTTTTTTCCACATGAACTGAACTTTTAATAACTCTAAAAATTAATCAGTGACAATAAGATAAGGGAAATAAAACTTTCCACCAAGAATTAAAGTAGCAGCAGCGCTTTTATGGCAGAGTTTCTGTGAACTAGGGCTGACCCACTGATTCTGACACTCTCGATGGACAAATATGCGCTCATTGAGATGTGCATGGGTAATATAAAGGGTATAAAAAGAGCAACATTTTAGGCCTGCAGAATGATATGTTCCATCAGATTATATGTAGTTGAATGTAAACATACTTTAATGCTGGTCTTTATCAATTAAAACATTTCAACAAAATGAGAAGTGAGACTGAAAGTTCCACATTGTGTCATGTGTGGCCTATTTTGTTTTCCATATAGCAAAGGTCATCAAGTTGCATGTCCTTAACTTGACTTTTTATTGCTGTGCTATGGAGTAAACAAAGATGCTTTGGGAGTTCAGTGACACAAAGTAGAGTAAAGGCCTTTAAAACCGTGATGGACAGATTAACAGATGATGCAGACGACACTGTGATCTGTAGTTTTAGTAGGGAGCGAGCCTGGAGAAGTAGTATGCTCTAGAGCAGCGGTCCCCAACCCCTTGGACCGGTACCGGTCCGTGAGTCGTTTGGTACCGGGCCGCGAGAGTTGAGGCTCAGGTGTGAAATGTATAGTTTTCAGGGTTTTTATTGGTTTTCAGCGTTATTTTGTTATCGTTTTTATCGTTTACTCGGTTTTCCTGGGTCTTTTCACGTGTGTTATGAATTATTTCTTTTATTTTTTTTCGGTACTGGTACTAGTTTTATTTTGTTGTATTTATCCGCGACACCTTAAAGGCCGGTCCATGAAAATATTGTCAGGCATAAACCGGTCCGTGGCGCAAAAAAGGTTGGGGACCGCTGGACTAGAGAGGAAAGAATGAAAATTAGTAGTAGAGAGACAGAATAGATTGGTGTAAATGAGAGGGAGACAGGTGTGACACTGAAGCTGCAAGGAGAAGAGGTAGTGAAGGTGGATGAGTTTAAATACCGAGGGTCAACAATTCAGAGAAACAGATAAGAAAAGTGAAAAAGAGAGTGAAGGCGAGGTGGAGTGGATGAGTGATCTGTGACAGAAGAAGATTAAATGGGAAGATTTACAAGCTGGTAGTGAGACGTTCTGTAATGTACGATTTCAAAGTGGAGTTGAAGATACTTTTATATATTTTTTGACCACGAGGATAAGAAACTAGTATACTAGCAGGACAGCTCAGGTCGAGTGATTTGGAGACAAAGAGAAAGAAGCGAAGCTAAGATGGTTTAGACGCTTTAGACAAGTACAGAGGAGGCATAGTAGTTATAGTGGGTAATCAGTGTTGGGGAGTAACGGAATACATGTACCGCCGTTACGTATTTAAAATACAAAATATGAGTAACTGTATTCTGTTACAGTTACCGTTTAAAAAGGTGGTATTTAGAATACAGTTACTTTGTTGAAATAAATGGATTACACGGCGGTACTTCCCTGTTTTATATTGTCGCGGGTCAGGACTGTTTGGGTTTTGTTTGACAGCTACGTTCTGTTGTTCCAGGCGGCAGTGTTACGGTTGCCATGGTTACAGGGTGACGCTCTCTCTCTGCACCTTTTTGTTGTTGTTGTCGTGCTAAGCTAATAGGCAGAATGCTACAGGTATAGCTCTAAAGAATGTAGCATCATGGGCAGTGTAGTCCGTGCTGCAGGGAGAATGGACTGCCATACACGTTATGTGTCTGTGAGCGAGGGAGGGAGAAAAAGGAAAAGTACGAGCTGTCATCGAGCAGAAACGGGAGCTGGAAGCATGTAAATATAATAATAACCACTGCAGCCAAGAAGAGAGCCTGACGAGCCCAGTTGTAAGTAAGCTATTAAGACTCGACTGTACACCGTGTTCGTGTTTTCCTCCGAAACAATAAGTTCTGTTGGAGCAGCCTTTCAACGCCTCTCTCTGTCTCTGCTAGCAAAGTTGACCCAGACAACAAAGTAAAGCTAGTTTTCAGCTACGAGCCGACACAGAACCCACCGTATTAGACAGAGGTCCCTTTACTACGGTTCGGAGCCGCGGACCTTCAGTAACAGTAATAAATCACAGCAATAGTACATTCATGTAGTATGTATTCTGTAATCTGTAATGGAATACATTTTAAAAGTAACCTTCCCAACACTGTGGGTAAAGGATACTAATGGAACTAACTGTTCATAGAAGAAAAGAGGAAAACCACACGGACGGTTCCTGGATGCTGTGGGCACAAAAGGGCATTGCCAAATAAGAAACAGAAGTAAAGTCTTACAAGGCAACAACAGCGATGTGTGTTAAAAATGTTACCACATAGTTTTATTCTAACTACGTGTAAATGATTTCTCTTGCAGTATAACAGACCACAAGCATATGTAGAGTGGAGAAGTGAATATAACAAGCTACAGCAGTGTCTCACAGAAGAAGTGGAAAGCATATAATGCAGCAGGTATTCATAAAAAGGGCGGCAGACGTTACACACTTCAGACGTTTGGCCTCATGAACATGCGAACAGCTGCAGAGGTCACACAGACAGAAAAACAATGATGCACAATTGGCTTCAATTAATCAATGGAAACATGGTTCTGATAAAAAAGCAAATTAGGCCATTCGAAGCCATATTGTCCTCTTTGGCAATATTAGACTAAGTGAACTCAACACTCACCCCACCCCTGTTGTGGCTACACCTGTGGAAAACGATTAAGTCATTTTAATTCCAAATGTTGTATTTATCAGGCTTGACAAAAAAGGAACTGATTGACAACCTTTGATGTCACTATTAAGGCCATCTGTTCTTCATTTAGGTCTGCATGCTGCAACCATACTGTGCAACCTTTATTTAATCAGGCATTTAAAAGAAACAATTAAAAATCTGTAACCTCAATTTAAAAAAAGGGAAATGAAAACAGTCGTTTTTAAAGCCATTAAAAAAATCCAGCTTGTCCAAACCGATCTGTGACAGGAGTAGTTGGTGCAAACAGAGCAGAGACACAGATGCGGCATAGTGGGAGTTAACTGGGTCAAGCAAATGTGGCAAGAAAACCCAAACAAATATTCTGTCTATGACTAAGAAGTACGACTGAATAATTGGTTTTAAGTGTTGCAATTTGTAAAAACCTGTTTTTGCCAAATGGTTTTCCTTCCTAGTCATGATGTCTTTTATTGTAAAACAAGAGATGTAATAACTTCAGTCACGGCATAGCAAGCCGTGGTGGGGGGGGGCGTTTCCCCCTGACAAATAAATTGACTGGATGATGGAAACTCTAGCCCTGTAACAAGCTTAAAAACTTGAATAACTACCATCCAGCTGCCAGAAGAAACAACACGCGGCCTGAAATGAAAGCAACGGTCGCACTGTCTCATCTCAGCTTATCACACCTTCATATGGAATATTTCTTTTATCGACTGAGGAGGGTCAAGCAAACAGTCAGTCACACAGAGTATGAACTCTGAGGCTGCAGAGGAACACCGCATACCGCAGCAGTGCAGCTGATTCATGTATTATTGACAGCACTGCGTGCTCTCACCCAGCCAGTCTTTCTATGAGAAGCAGCGACTTGTTGACAAGCCTGCGACGTGACATAATGAAATCGTGCGTGGCGTTCACCTTCTCTGTGCCCTCTGATTGGCTCAGCTCTTCCATGTTGCACTTTATGAACGTGTTTACTTAACTTCAAAGGAGAAAAACACACAATGACAGAGGCACGGTTCTCAACTTTGTGCTTACAAAGGAGTGTTTTGGGTAAAACCCCGTCCATGTTGTGTTGTTTTGTGGCCTGTCTGCATGCTTCAGATCGGGTGAGGTGCGGACACAAAGTATTGTTGTCTTGCAGCGGAATTGCAAACGATGGGGGCGCTCTCTGCGGCTTCTTTGTTTAGCTTTACTATGATTTTGGTACTTTTTACTGTTTTTTAACCACCTGGTCTATTGTTATTGATGAATGAACTAAATTCCCAGACATGGACTAAAACTCCACAGACTAAAATTGGATTA